ACGGCGGAGGACGCGCAGACGGCGATGGACAGCCTCAAGCACCTCCCGTTGTTCCACCGCCGGGGGTTCCACCTCGAGGGATTCTTCAAGTACCTGTTTGGGGATGCTAATCCGGCTCTCGATCCCGCGCTCGGGGTAAGTTAAGGCATTCTTCGATGTAGTTGCCTAGGAGTATTGAATTCTTAGATGTGTGTGTCGGTGTGTTTAAGGTTCTAATTCTCACAATTGTTTTTCATGGGCAAGGGGAATATGATTGGCTGACATCTGAAAAATAGTTTGAAAGTAAGTCAAGGTTAGGATAAATTAATCAACTGATGAGAGTGTTATCATGTTTAGACTCTACCAAGATTTTGATATGTTCTCCTGAGACCACACTAGGAAAATGATGGGTAACGAGTTATTCATAATGTAATGTGGTATTGATTTGTTGGTGTGACAAAGTGCTTACTACCGATTTTAGTTAATTGACATTCACAGCTTGCGAAAAGGAATTCTCCCATTTATCTTAGTGTTATATTCTTATGTTTCAGGTTCACCATGACATGAATGCTCCTCTGTCTCATTACTTCATATACACGGGCCATAATTCTTATTTGACGGGGAATCAGCTGAGTAGTGATTGCAGTGACGTTCCCATAATAAATGCATTACGTAAGGGTGTAAGAGTCATTGAGTTGGATATATGGCCGAACTCGACAAATGATGATGTCAATGTTCTACACGGGAGGTATTTCCCACATTGTTTTCCTAAAATCTGCGGTTTATTGCTTCAATAGGTTATACTGGGAATTGGCCCCCTTTTGCCCTCATCTCATCTCCCTTTTTTTTAGGACATTGACCACTCCCGTTGAGCTCATCAAATGTTTGAGATCGATTAAAGAACATGCGTTTGCTGCATCTGAGTATCCTGTTGTGATAACTTTGGAAGACCATCTTACTCAGGATCTTCAGGCAAAAGTTGCTGAGGTAAGTCTCTGGAGTTTATGCAAGAATTAAGGCATTAAGTAATTCGTTAGCTTTGTAACCACTTTTCTTACATTTGAATCTAGATGATCACGCAAACGTTTGGAGACATGCTGTTTTGCCCTGAGTCTGATTTGGAAGAGTTTCCCTCTCCGGAATCTCTGAAGAAGAGGGTAATTATATCAACAAAACCACCAAAAGAGTACTTACAGGCCAAGGAAGTTAAGGTAAAAAATAATGACATGAAGAAGGAAAAGGATGAAGAAGCTTGGGGAAGTGAGGTTAAGAATGCCAAAATGGATGACTATAATGTGCGTCCTTTAACTCTTTCTCTGTTGACACATACTGATAGAGTCTTACTTAAACCTTCTAAAGTTCTTAGTTTCCCTCGAATTTTCTTGTAGGATGATGATGAGGAGGAGGAGGATGAAGATGATGAAGAAGATCCTAAAGAACAACAAAATGAGGCTCCAGAGTATAGACGTCTGATTGCTATTCATGCTGGGAAAGGGAAGGGTGGAATGAAGGACTGGCTGAGGGTTGATCTTCATAAAGTAAGACGACTTAGCTTGAGCGAGCAAGAGCTTGAAAAGGCGATTGTAACTTATGGAAAAGATATTGTCAGGTAACTTTCGTATGTAATGAAGGCCTAATATTGACTTCTCTATTTTTACATGTATGAATATTTTACTAATTTATACTTAAACATTATGAATGTTCCATTTGATTATTGATTACTAGAAATGTATGCGTTGTATTGAACTTAAACTGCTAGAACTAATCAGTCAGCTGATAACACAATGCATGCCTTTGAGAAGTCATTTGTGTCACAAATGTCCTAGACATAGTTTCTCTTACATTGTTGTATCTATACTGAAGCTATCTGTCTTTTATTAAAGTGGATAAACCCTGTTGTTGGACGAGTTATAAAATTTAAATCAGAATTTGCACACACTTATTTTTTATAACATTTGATTAGCAAAAGAACTCAGCTTCCTTTTCTTTCTTTCCCTTTTTGTTATGTTAATGAGAAACACATTGAAAATTGATGCTATTAGGCAGTAAGAATGATTTTCGTTTACAGTTTATCCATTGTCTATTGTTTAGGTTTACTCAGAGGAACATGCTGAGAGTATACCCTAAAGGTATACGTTTTGACTCGTCCAATTACAACCCACTAATCGGATGGACACATGGAGCACAAATGGTTGCATTCAACATGCAGGTTAGTATAGCTTCTCTGAGGACTGAGGAGAAGGATACTGAATCATATCATTGTTCTCCTTCAAAGTTTCTTTGGTTTATTTTTTGTCACAGAAAATTGGGCAAGAAGAATATATATATATCCCAAATTACAATCTTTTTAAAAGATCAATAGCAACAGCAGTAGTGTTTGAAGCCATTTACAATTGAGTGTAATTATTAACTTTGTGATTATAGGTGATACATGGGAATAGGGTGACGAAAATTATTTTAAACTACATCACATTGTTGGCTCAATGGGGTCATCAAGATTTGTAGCTACGGAATATCTCCTGTAGCAACCATTGTTGCATTATCCTGAGAAGTTTATCCTCAGAAGATAATAACGTAATGTCTCAACAGGGTTATGGCAGATCACTTTGGTTGATGCATGGTATGTTCAAGGCCAATGGTGGTTGTGGATATGTTAAAAAGCCAAATTTTTTGTTGAATGCTGATGCATATGGAGAAGTTTTCGACCCTAGTGCAACATTACCTGTCAAAACTACTTTAAGGGTAGGCCTAAAGTTTTTACGGTTTTCTTTCTTCTTTCTTCTTTTTTTCTACCAAGATGTCCTTACTTTATTGTTGCACTAATGATATATAACTTACACCAATTGAAGCTTTGTGTAATAGTTTTTTATGCTCAATTTTTGTTAAACAGGTAACTGTCTATATGGGTGAAGGATGGTATTATGATTTCCGTCACACGCATTTTGACGCTTATTCTCCTCCTGATTTTTATGCTAGGGTATATCTTTCTTTTTTTTTTTTTTTNNNTTTTTTTTTTTTTTTATTTGCTTGCTTGCTTGCCAGTTTCATGCATGTTCAGTTTTTTTCATATTTTTATTTTTTTTATTAATTTTTAGATCGTTGTTCAAAGTTCCTTCTCGCCAACTGTGCGCATGTGAAATCTGAAATTCACATTATGGAGCAAATTTACACGGACAGATACCTAAAGATAAACGGGGGAATTTTGCAGGACAAAGAGAAATAAAAAGAAATCTTCTTGTCAAAAGTAATCTATCTGAAACAGAATGAGCACAAAAGAAGTTGGTGTTTAAAATTAGAAGCTAAAAGTTGAAAAATTGAATACAAGGATATAGTGTTTGGTGACTGAGTTGTAAAGTTCTTTATTCGATAAAACAGAATCAGAAATTCATGCTTGGACTCGAAAGAAAGTTGGTGTTTGGAACACCCAGTTAAGTAATAATAGTAATTAAAAAAAAAAAACATACACGAGTTTGGCAAGTCTCTTATTTATTTATTTATTTGTTTGTTTATATTTATGATTCCTAAGGTGGGAATAGCTGGAGTTCCGGTAGACACCATAATGAAGAAAACAAAGACTCTCGAAGACAACTGGATACCAGCATGGGACGAGGTGTTTGAGTTCCCATTAACAGTTCCTGAGCTGGCCCTGCTAAGAATCGAGGTTCATGAGTATGACATGTCCGAAAAGGACGATTTTGCGGGGCAAACGTGCCTGCCCGTGCGTGAGTTGAGGAAAGGTATCCGGTCAGTTTCACTTCATTCTCGCAAGGGGGAGAAGTACAACAACGTGAAGCTTCTCATGCGGTTTGACTTCGTCTGATGGTCAAGCGAGTCCTTTTGTTGTCGAAGTTTGAAGTTAAATTGTGTACGTAAAGTATTGCGCGTTTTTCCTTGTGTGGCTCGTTGGGTATTTCCTGTTATATGTATGTGTCCAAAGGGCTTGGTCGGAAACTTGGAATATCGATGGTCTGTGGTGATTTATTTCTTCCGACTGAGTCGAGAGATTTGTTGTGCACTAGCGGTATTGTACTGCTGTGTAATGAACTTGTATTTATCATGATAATGTGAATATGGTTTTTAATAGTTTTTAGTAGTACTATGGACATCATGGAAATTTAGGTTTCTTGCTTTCCCTAAATTGGTTTTGCCAAAATTTTGTGTGTATGAGACTACATTTAGCTGTTTAAAGTTAAAATGGTATTACCCAAGAGCGCTTCGATGTGATGGCTTGGGTCTCTTCCAGCTTAACCAGTGGTCTCGTGTTCGAGCCCTGAGAATGCAGCAGTGTTAAAACTTTTGAGGGAGAGCTTTGCCGCTCTTGTGGTCCTACCCAACTCGATTCCGGATTAGTCGGTTCCCCTGTGGATTCGGAAACCGGAAAGTCCCTGTACCAAAAAAAAAAATTAAAATGGTATTACATTCCTAGTCAATTCAAATACGTTGGAGCCATTTTAATCGAACTATGTTTAATGTTGTAAGGATAGGTTACGTCCGTCGATTGGTACGTATTCAGCGGTTAAGTTAATTTATGTCTGAAATTTAACGGTTAAAACTATGTTTGGTAAAACTAGCTGATAATTTAGTTTATAGTTTATAAGTGATTTTGGAGTTTATAGCTTATGACTTATAGCTGAAAAACTAGCTTATATGATAAATGTGTTTGGTAAAATTAATTGATAAACTGGCTGAAATAAAAATTCTAACGAGTTTATCTGAAAAGCTACTCAAATAAGCTTACGAGATAGACTCGAACTAAAAAATTTCGTCTTACTAAACAAAATTTAATTGAATACATAAAGCTTATAAGTTAATCAAATAAGTTATAAACTAGACTGCTGATTATCAAACATAGCTTAAGCTAACTCGTATAGGCATGACAAATTGTGATCAAGTATTGTTAGTAGATACGAACATAGCAGTTCAGTTGATTTGTATTAAACGCACAATTTCTTTTACGGAGGGGTATAAATTTGGTCTCCCATCGGCTCCTCACTAGACATG